AGAAATGATTTTTTAGGAGCAGTTGGATATTTAATCATGTTTCTAATCAGTTAAATCGCAGATTGTTAAATTGAATAATACATTTTAATGTGTATGTTTTACCATATTGAAAATATGGCGATGCTCACAGAGCAAGCTCCAAAAAAAGGAAAAAGTATGAGTTTTTTCAAATGTAAAAAACTTGACATTCATATATGCATTTGAACTGCACCAGAATTCACTTCAACCAAACAAACATTTTTTCTATAAGTAAGTTTACATAAGTTTAGATTAGAAAAAAAATGAAGAATATAAGCAGTTTTGACTTCTTCAATTGTTTTTCTGGTTTATTTTCTTTGCTGTAGGGCACTGTGCTAAATGAATAACATCTCCAGGTTTCACTTAGTTTACCGAGTTGTTCTATCGCAGCAGCGCGGCTATGGATGGCAAGTAAAATAATAGTGTTTTTGCCCTCCAGCGTTGAGCACATGCACAACCACTCATTGTGTGTTATTGTGACAATGCTGGCAGGGGGTGCAGCACTGAATCTGAAACAATTAAAAACGGATGTTTTACCTTTGCAAAGATATTTCTTTGAAAGCAAACATCAAAGTAATGATCATACCAGTGGTTGCATCACTTCCTCTGTCATCTTGCATGCTCCATGTAGACAGGTCCCATTGGACCTGCAGGGAGTGCCATCGGCCCAGGTCAGGCTGCCATTCTTGGTGGCACACTGCCCCGTACCGTCCTCTCGGCACCAAAGCTGGCTGCAAATATCGCTGTCTGACGTGTTGGGACAGTGGACAAACTCCTCCCCAAAAATCTGCTGACACTGTTGGTCCAGGTTGTACACGGTACCCGGCAGCTCTGGTGGCAGGGGAATGGTGCTCTCCGGGACATCCAGGAGGCAGTCTCCTACGGTTAGAGAACACATCAGCACTGGATTCCATTCAGGCCGGTAGAGATCATCAGCTTTTATGTTGCTGTGGTAATTTGCATTATTGTATTTCAACGACTTTAAGGAATCAAACTTGACTATGTGCATCAACACAGCCTGTTTATAGGCATAGCTCCTCCATAATTTAGCCTACTAAGTCTGTGCTTCCCCATCATGAAACTGAGGGATTACAGAATAATGCTGTAAAAAAATATACAAGTTAGTGAGATTCATCTCCCTGACTTCAGCACAGTGAAATCAACTTTTACTTTTGAGGGACCCTCAATAATACCAATTCCAATACCAATAACAGACAAAAATCAGTAAAATCACGCAGAGACAAAAAAGTCTTTAGACTGTAATATTTAGTATCTATTCTACTTAAAACCAATGTTGAAACCAAACAGAAATCTGAAGGAAGGCTTCATGCTGCAATTCAATTGGCTTTATTAAACCTCAGATCTCTGGCAGGAAAATCATTTCTAATTCAAGACTTTAATATTGATCATCATCTTGATTTTTTGTTCCTGACTGAAATTTGGCTGAATCAAAATCACCACTCATCTATTCTAATGGAATCATGTCCTCCAAATTTTAGCTTTATAAGCCAGACCAGAACCGACAAAAGAGGAGGTGGAGTTGCAGTATTGTTCAATTCAGCAGATATCCTACGTAAACGTTTTATCCTTTGAATATGTTGCCTTACAATTAAACTCATTCTATGCTGACTATATACTGACCTCCTAGATTCTGTGCAAATGTCTTTGATGATTTTACTAAATTATTGTCCTTAATTCTGGTTGATTTTGATTTTGTTCTTATTGTTGGTGATTTTAACTTTCATATCGACAATCCATTGGATCGAGGCAGTGAAGAGCTTTGTCAGCTACGGACTGATCCAACACATAATCATGGACACACTTTGGACCTTATTATTTCTAAAGGACTGATTATATATACAATTGTAGTGCTTGATGTAGCATTGTCAGATCACTTTTGTACTTTTTCTCCCTGCTCAAAAAGATGACTATAAACAAGTCATTTCAAAAAGATGCATTACAGAAACTACTGCCGGTCAATTTATTCAGGCTTTTCCTTCAACTGCTATACACTCCTGTACTTCTCTGAGTGATCTAATAGACGATTTTATTTTCAAAATCGAGAAAGTTATTGACACCATTGCTCCTGTTACTACAAAAGTAATCTCTGGGAAACGTAAACCACCTTGGAGAAATTATGAGTCAGTTAGAAAAGGGAATAGTGGCGAAAAGCAGAACGTCGGTGGCGTAAAACTAAACTACAAGCCCACTTAGATATATACAAAGACAAACTAAAAATTTTTAATCTTGAACTGAGAAATGCAAGAATTTAATTTTCAAACATCATTTCTACCTCCATCAACAACTCTTGTGCTTTGTTTGATTGTTGACAGGTTGACAAATCCACCTTCTCCTGTTAACCGTGAATTTTTCTCCTAACTCTAACCTTCGTGACAAATTTGCCACTTTTTTCATAAACAAAATGGTGAAAATATGGGAGACAGTAAATTCCTCTCTCTCTGTTACAAAGAATCAGATAACTGTTTTTCCTTAATCAGACCTTAACTAGGATAACTCACTTTAACCTGGTCACTCAAAAAGATCTGAGTTACATCATATGAAATCATCCACCTGCTCCCTTGGCATTTCCCTACCAGTTTGTTCTTAAAGGTCTCAGATGTTTTTGCTCCTGATCTTTTACAAATAATTAAGCCGCTCTCCTCTGGAGTCTTCCCTCAGGCTTTAGAGACTGCGATAGTTAAACCACTTCTCAAAAAGCATAACCTAGACTCATCAGTTCTAAGCAATTATCGATCAATACCTACTTACCTTTTCTGGCTAAAATATTAGAAAGAATTGGTTTTAAACAGATAAATGGCTTTCTAGCCCTGAAGAACTGTTTTGATGTCCATCAATCAGGTTTCCATCAACATCACAGCACTGAAACTGCTCTTGTGAAAGTATTCAATGACCTCCGTCGAACACTGACCGTAATAAAATGTCAATATTAGTTTTACTTGACCTGAGTGCTGCATTCGATACAGTTGATCATGATATTGGGTTGGTATTTCCGGTATAGTGCTCAGCTGGCTTAAAGCTTACCTCTCTGACAGAACCTCTTATGTGTCCATAGGCAACTTTAAATCCAAATGGAATGAAATTATTTGTGGAGTTCCCCAAAGTTCCATCCTAGGGCCACTTCTTTTCAATATCTATATGCTTCCATTAATTCAAATTATGTGAAATAATAAGAGAATATCACAACTATGCCAATGACACACAGCTGTACATTAGTCTTTCACCAGGAGATTACAGTCAGGTTCAAATACTCACTGACTGTATTGAGCAGATTAATGTCTGGATGTGCTAAAATCAGACATCTCATGTCCCCAAAAGATTCTGAAAAATTAGTTCATGCCTTTGTTTTTAGTAGACTCGATTACTGCAATGGCATTTTTACTGGATTATCAAAAAAAGCAATAAGACAGCTCCAGCTTCTCCAGAATGCCGCTGCAAGAGTCCTGACTAAAACAAAAAGAGATCAGCACATCAGTCCAGTTCTGAGATCCTTGCACTGGCTGCCAGTTGCTCAAAGAATAGAAATTAAAATCTCCTTAGTAGTTTACAAAGCACTTCATAATAAAAACCCAGACTATATTTCTAATCTTCTTCAGCCCGACGTACCAGTCAGACCTTTAAGATCATCAGAGTCAAACCTACTAATTATTCCGAGAGTCAGAACTGAACATGGTGAAGCAGCTTTTAGTTTTTATGCTCCAGCTCTCTGGAATGAACTTCCTGCTCATTTTATCTCTGCCCCAATCTAGAGTTTATTTAAAACAAGCTTAAAAACCTTTTTATTTGAAGTTGCCTATTCTTAAAATTTTTAATTCTCTTCATTCACTGTATTTAATTTTTTTTATGTTTGCTTTGTCTATTTTTAATCTGCTTGATTTTTAATAGATTTTTTAACTATTTTTTTAACTATTATCTTAACTTTTTTGTACAAGCACTTTGAATTGTCTCTGGCTGAAAGGCGCTATATAAATAAAGTTGCCTTGTCTTGCCTTGTAAATGTGCTTCTCTGACACTATGAGGCAAAAATTCAGGGCAAGTCATGTCCTGAAATAAATTGTAACCTTTACAGATGCATCATCTTTTGCCATCTTACTACTCAGAATCTGAACTTGCTGGCTAATCAAAAAACAAGGCATTTTATCATTCCTCAAATGAAATTGATTACATTTGAGTGAAGTTGATAATCACATTAGCATTTCAGAATGAACCCTTAGAGCAATGTGACTTTTTACCAGACATGTTTTCCATCAGATAAAGAACATATTTTTTTCAGCACCAGCTGTTGCATTTGGCTGTTGAGGTGGAGAACAGGAAGGAGTCCATGCCATGACTCAGTGGAAAGAAAGGTTCACCGATTGGTCTAGTAAGGACATAAACAATCCAAAACACATGACACAGTAGAGGAGAGGCAGAACTGGAGATGGGCTCTCAGTGAAAAAAAAGCCTGAGACGTAAAAGGGAGAGAAGAGGATGTGGAAAGCTCGTGCAAGATAAACTATCACCAGAACCTGCAATTTGGGGGGAAGCGGCATGTTTAAGCAGGAAAGACATCATTCATGAGAGCAGAACATTCTGTTTAATATATCCCTGAATCAGCCCCATAAGAAAACCACAGCTGATATCCAAGTTGGCAGGAGCTTTCTGCTCTGAGGCATAAGCACAGTATCACTCACCATGGCCATTGTCGAAAAACTCAGTGATGTAAAGAGAGCTGCAGGGAGACCACGGCACCGATTTGTTGAGACTAACAAACAGAGGGGCCATCAGGTAATGCCCTCCCAGATCTCCGAACAGCTTCTCACAAGTCTTGGAATCGTCGTGGGGCATGCTCAGCACATGGCCTGCAGGGGGAGAGTCAGCAGGTTATCAAAACAATCTCAACCCAGCTTTTCTACTTCACTCTGTGGTTTCTCTCGCACTCAGCAGCTTAATCAATGACTATAAAGAACGGCTCACCAAGCTCGTGAGCAGCCGTGAAGGCGGCCTGTAGGCCATTGTCCTCAATGACTGAGCAGCTTCTCTTGGGATCGCACATCGTCCCGACATCTGCCACACCCAGAGTGTCACAGCTCTTCTGTCCACAGATGTCCTGCAATGATAAAGCAGAAAAATTCAGATCCAGTTGAGGGTAAGTAATTAGAAAATCGAGTCTAAACAATTGGGATTGTGTTTACTGCCTCATAAGGAAAATGTTTTTCCCAAACAGCTGTGCAGCTCTCTTTAGTAAATGACCATAGCTTCATGCATCATCTGTTACATTCATGCTGTATTCCGAAGCTTTGGGTCATATAGTGTTCAGAAGTATTCACAGCCCCTGAAGTAAGGAGGCACTGATATGAAAATGTGCTCCAATATCAATATCCCATATTGTCACCTTCCTAAAATAATGGACTAAGTCATTTTGCCAAAAACAAATCACTTCATGCAAAAAATAACTCGGGCCATTATTTTAGGAAGTTGACAATACAGTGATCCCTCGCTATAACGCGGTTCACCTTTCGCGGTCTCGCTGCTTCTCGGACTTTTTTGTGCAGTTTTTTTTCACAGTGCATTGTGTTCTGCGTCCTGATTGGCTAAACAGTCTCCAAGCTCCTTCTCTACCTGTGTGCCAATAACGTACTTAAATATAAGTAATACAGATTGGCCATACAGGAGATGAAAGCTGAAAACTTTGAATGCCTGCTGGAAAAAATTGGCCAGAATCAGCGCAAAACCCGACCGGAGGCTCGGTTGATGAGATCCATCGCTCTGCCGTAGATCCAGCTGTGAATCTCTGGGGCAGGTTGGAGGAGACGCTTTAATGACATGACTCCAGATCACATTAAGGCCCGATTGAGGAACAGGTTTTGTTCTTTGGTTTCAATGTATTTAATTTCAGTATTTAATTATGCTGTATAATAATTGTAAAAACTAAAAGTAACAACTTTGCGGATTTCACTAATTGCGGGTTATTTTCGGAACGCAACCCCTAAGAAAAATGAGGGATCACTGTATTATTTTTCCTCTTATGGCTGATGACCAATATTTTCCTCATCTATATTATATGAATTTCTCCACACTTCTGATACCACCTAAAGCACCTACAATGCTTTTCTGCTTGAGTTAACCAGCCCATTTTCTTGTGCCGTCATAAATACACAGGGAGGGTAATCAGGCAATGAGA